CCCTGAAAGTTGTGGTTGTTATTATGTTTTTTATATATGTGTTGTCTAAGAAATTTTTACAGAATATGGGTGGTTTACTTCCATACCAGCCGATGACATCAGATGTGATTTCACAGCCAATGTCAATCGACTGTACTGACTCCCTTTTCAGCATGAATGTTCCATCCTTCCTTTTAAACATTATCTCATCACTGTATACAAGCACATCACAACAGGACGGATGGTTTACGACATCAAACAATAGGTTACCACAACAAAACCATAGCTTACCACATCTTACCATATGGTAATAAGTAAAACACACCAGCTTACCACATCTTACCATATGGTAATAAGTAAAATAGAACAGGAGTTATGATTTAATCCATTCTTTAACAACAAACCTTAGCTTACCACATCATACCATATGGTATTAAACTAAAACAAAACAGGACTTGTGCATTACTACATTTTGTAACATTAAACCATAGATTTATCTAATTATACCATATTTTACCATATTTTACCATATGGTAACCAACTAGATCACTACAGTAACATCATATAACAGTAGAAGTTTTAAGATGATGACTTACCTCTTGGCAAATTTCTTGTTTTTGCATCTTATGTACTCCAGGATGTTGCTGAACATATCATCAGGTGTTGTTTGTGTTGGTGTTGACCATTCAACTGGTGATTTTTGTGACTGTGGAGCAACTGGTTCGGCAGCTGGAGAATTCAGGTCCTCTAGGTAAGCATCTATGCATTCACGGACTTCCTTGAGCTTCTCTTGGCTGTTTGTGTACAGATTTGACCATATAGCATATGACCCCGTCTGTGACTGGGTGCTTTGTGGCTGTTCTGGTGGTGGTGTTGCTCTTGCCTTCTTTTCATTTCCGTGTACATTCTTTATCACGATTCTTCTTTTGCGAGGCTCTGCTGGTTGATCGGTTGCCGTGTTGGTAGTCAACTTTGTTGGTGTTGTTGGTGTTTGACGGTTGAGAGGGCTGAGATCAAAGGATGGAATGTCGTCTTCCCTCGTCACTTTAGGCTTCTCAGCAGCTTCGGTTGTCAGTTTTGGAGCCTCTTCACGAACAACATCATCTGACACCGTCTTCTCGCTGTCAGTTTCTGCAGTCTTTTGTGCAGCTTGCCCTGTATTCCCTTCTTCTGTTGTTTCCTTATCAACTTCCATTGGATCTGCTGTTTTGGTAGCTCCTTTTTCTTCGATTTCTTCTTCAGATGTCTGTTCTGGAACTGCTTTCTGGGTGTCCTCTTGTTGTGGTGTTCCCTGATTCAGACCTTCTTGAACAGATTGTTCTGGTGGTTCTGTTGCAACTTCCCCCAGTGGATCTCCTTCTTTTGGGATGCTTTCCCTATTCACAGCTCCTGGAGCAGAATCATCTTGCTCCTTTTCTTTTGGCTTCGGTGTAGATGCAGCAAGATCGACTGTAGATGGTTGTGAATCATCTTCTTTCTGTGTTTGCTCCTCGTTCTCCTCTTCGTTCTGGTCTATGTTTGTCTGTTTGAATATTTCATTGAGTGTTTTATTCAAACTGTCATGCATTTCTTCATCATTCTCTTCTTCATCATCTTCACACTGAGATTTTTCTCCTTCTGTGGGCTGAACATATTCATCACAGCTTTCTTTCGCAAGATTCTCCTTGTGTCTGATCAGATTGTCAATTTGGCTTTTGTACTGGTCTTTTATTGCTTTCATCATTGTCTTCATTGATGCTTCAAGCAGTTTGATTGCATTCTCAGCCTGCATAATGGGAGTATAGTTAGTTACCATGGTGGTAATACATGGTATTGGCAATTATTATAACTATTCTGCATTTTTATAACATGAAACTATATCTTACCACACCTTACCATATGGTAACAAAGTAAAACAGAACAAGAATTATGGTTTCCTCCATTTTTATAACATGAATTCATTGCTTACCACACATTACCATATGGTAACGTATTAAAACACAACAGGACTTATGTTTTCCTCCATTTTTATAACATGAAACCGTAGATTACCACACCTTACCATATGGTAACAAACTAAAACACAGCAGGACTTGTTGTTTTTTGCTATTTTTAAAACATGAAAGCATAGCTTACCACACATTACCATATGGTAACAAAGTAAAACAGAACAAGAATTATGGTTTCCTCCATTTTTATAACATGAAACCATTGCTTACCACACATTACCATATGGTAACGAAGTAAACCACAACAGGACTTATGTTTTGTTCCATTTTTATAACATGAAACCATAGCTTACCACACTTTACCATATGGTAACAAACTAAAACACAGGACTTACGCTTAGCATGTATTGGACAACTGTAATATAGATAATTTGAATTGGACAACTGTAATATAGATAATTTGTACTTACTTGGTTGACTGTTCTGATATTCTTCAAATCAAAGTTCAGTGATGATGACTGCTCTGGACTTTTGTTTCTTTGTCTTTTCAGTGATTCATAGACTGGCTCATTCTCCTCTTCCTCATCAGCTGCGTCATCAGCCTCATCATCAGCCTCATCGTCTCTAATGTTGGCAACCTTTTCGATCTCGTTCAACTCTTTTCCATTGTAGTAGCTCTTAATGTTCTCAAATTTGCTATCAACATTGTTATCATCATAGTAGCTTACTGTTGGTGTTCGAAGCTGGGTTGAGAATGCCATTTCGTCCAGTTTGTACATGAAGCATACCTTTTCATGCAGATAGTTGTATTAGTTTTTTCAAAGAGTATCATTTATATATAAAATATATGAGTAACAAGGTTGAAATGGCCAAGGGAATGGAGACTTACTGTAAGGAAGTGAAGATCTGCATTGACGTAGAGCTTTGGTGATTTCAATCCTTCATTCATGTGGTTGAAGAAGTATTTGCACCAGTTGTAGCTGGTGAAATGTTTCTGTTCATCAGTCTTCAAGTACTCAAGCATGTTGAGTTCAGCCATAGGGGCTGAACTTGGGCACAGCAAGCCTCCGGTGACCAGCAGAAAGAACAATTGTAACCATCTCTTACTGTTGGTAACTGTAGAAAGATCTTTTTCTACCTGACTTAGCTTTACCCTTGGAGTGGATTTTCCATCTACTTCCAGTAGGGTTTCTACTGCATAATCTGCTGGGTCGTCCCAAGAAATCGTGGGAGGTACAACTTTCCTATTCCCCATTGGCAGACCATATACCCTATGAAAGTCGATTGGTGATATCTTCATGCGTGTCCCGTCAAGTAGCTTGAAAGATTGTTTCATTGGATTGTATTTGTTCATTACGAACAGTGCAAAATGGTTGTTTATCTTTGTCTGCTTGATTGATATTAAGCCTGCTAGGCCTAATATCTCAAGTTTCTCTTTCTGGTCATCTTTTATAGTCCTTGCAATTGCAGATATTCTTGTTGGGCTGCACCTTGTGCGAAAAATTTTTCTTTGGTTTACCATAGTGTACCTGAATGTAGAAATTAGGAATAGTCTGTTAGCGTGCTTTTTACCATGATATACCATATGGTACCATACCAAATCAAACCATATATTTATCTCATTTTACCATATGGTAATTACATCAAACCATGTCTTATAACATATTACCATATGGTAACGAAGTAAAACACAACAGGACGTATGTTTTCCTCCATTTTTATAGCATGAAACCATAGCTTACCACACATTACCATATGGTAACAAACTAAAACACAGCAGGACTTATGGTTTTTTGCTATTTTACAAGATGAAACCATAGCTTACCACACATTACCATATGGTAACGTATTAAAACACAGCAGGACTTATGGTTTTTTTGCTATTTTACAACATGAAACCATAGTTTACCACACATTACCATATGGTAACAAACTAAAACACAGCAAGACTTATGGTTTTTTGCTATTTTACAACATGAAACCATAGTTTACCACACATTACCATATGGTAACAAACTAAAACACAGCAGGACTTATGGTTTTTTGCTATTTTACAACATGAAACCATAGTTTACCACACATTACCATATGGTAACGAAGCAAAACACAGCAGGACTTATGGTTTTTTGCTATTTTACAACACGAAACCATAGTTTACCACACATTATCATATGGTAACAAACTAAAACACAGCAGAACTTATGGTTTTTTGCTTATTTACAACATGAAACCATAATTTACCATACATTACCATATGGTAACAAACTAAAACACAGCAGGACTTATGGTTTTTTGCTATTTTACAACATGCAATCATAACTTACCACACATTACCATATGATAACGAAGCAAAACACAGCAGGACTTATGGTTTTTTGTTATTTTAGAACATGCAATCTTAATTTACCACACATTACCATATGGTAATGAAGCAAAACACAACAGATTCTACATCAGTTCAGCAACGCATGGAGAGTGACTGCGATACTGTTCTATTGTTCTGTGGATGGATTTCGAAGAAAGAAGTGAGGTTTTACCTTGATATTTTGTGCGAAAACGATTTTTGAGCCTCGTTGAAGTTGGAAACTCTTCGTTTTTCGACGAAGAAGCGAGAACAGTGTATCGTTGAATGATTCTTCGAAAACCTTTGCGAAAATCGTTCGATTTGAAGTTTTTTCTGGAAGTTTTTGCTGCGATTTTGGTGAGAGAATTGAGAATCGGGAGGAAGAATGGAGAGTTAGAGAGCAGAGAGGGAAGTGGAACTGTCGCTTGAAAGGTGAGAGGAAGAAGGAGAGAAGGCGGGACGGTTGTCGCTGTCACGTCTGCAATTCAAATTGTCAGAGACGTGATTACGTTTTTGCCCCCGCGTGTATTTTAACTGGCATGATCTGACGGCTGGGAAGATGGCGCGATGGACGGCCGGATCATCGGTTACTGACCGTTACTGATAGGTCGGTTACTGATAGGATCCGGACCCCCCCTCATCTCTACTCTTACCAAAACAAAACATAACAACGTAAAAACAAATAAACCAAAACAAAAAAGCAAAGAGTTTTATAATTTATTAGGATGCAGACAAAAAAGGAAACAAAAAAACACAAATATTTAAATCTCAAAGGTTGTAAACCAAACCAGTGAACCACACACCTTACCTTCCTTCCTCTTCTTTCCTTCTCAGTCTCCTACCCCTCCGCCGTTACTTCTCACTCTCCCCCTCTGCTCTCCTCCGCCGTTCGCCGGCGGCAAAAGAAGAAAACGACCCTCTTTCTCAACCCCCAGAAAAGAAGAGGATACAAACAGTAAACAGAATGAGGCTTCTATTCATTTTCTCCCTCCTCCTCATTCTCTTACACCTCCATATCTCTACTTCCTCCGCTCGCATATTGTCCGAATCCCAAGCTCTCCTCTCCCTCAAATCCGCTGTCACCGACGACCCAGAATCCGCCCTCACCGCCTGGAACTCTTCGGCCGCAGTCTGCACTTGGCCCGGAGTCACGTGCGACTTCTCCCACCGTCACGTGACCTCCGTCGACCTCTCCGGCCTCAACCTCTCCGGTACCCTCTCGCCTGACGTCGCCCACCTCAGGTACCTCCAGAACCTCTCTCTCGCCGCCAATCAGTTCTCCGGCCCTATCCCGCCGCAGCTCTCCGCCGTTTCCGGCCTCCGTCTCCTCAATCTTTCCAACAATGTCTTCAATGGCACTTTCCCCAATCAGCTCGCCCAGCTCAAGAATCTCCAGGTTCTCGACCTGTACAACAACAATATGACCGGCGACTTGCCGCTGACCGTCACTGAAATGCCCAATCTCCGCCACTTGCACCTGGGAGGCAACTTCTTCGCCGGGAAAATCCCGTCGGGGTACGGAAGGTGGCAGTTCATCGAGTACCTTGCGGTCTCCGGTAACGAGCTGGTCGGGAGTATTCCGCCGGAGCTGGGGAACTTAACCACCCTGCAGCAGCTCTACATTGGGTACTACAATAGCTACGAAGGCGGTCTTCCGGCTGAGATCGGGAACTTGTCCGACTTGGTCCGTTTCGACGCCGCTAATTGCGGGTTATCCGGCGAGATACCGCCGGAAATCGGGAGGTTACAGAAGCTGGACACATTGTTCCTTCAGGTGAACGGCCTTTCAGGACCACTGACGCCGGAGCTGGGCAAGTTAAAGAGCTTGAAATCCATGGATTTGTCCAACAACATGCTCCAAGGGGAGATTCCACCGGCTTTCGCTGAACTCAAGAACTTGACCCTCCTCAATCTCTTCAGAAACAAGCTCCATGGCGCCATTCCGGAGTTCATCGGCGAGATGCCCCAGCTTGAGGTGTTGCAGCTCTGGGAGAACAACTTCACCGGAAGCATTCCTCAAGGTTTGGGCAGTAATGGCAGGCTCTCGATTCTGGATCTTTCTTCCAACAAGCTCACTGGAACTCTGCCTCCCGATCTCTGTAATGGTAATCGCTTACAGACTCTGATTACTCTCAGCAACTTCCTCTTCGGGCCGATCCCGGAATCGCTAGGAAAATGCGAGTCGCTGAGTCGAATTCGAATGGGGGAAAATTTCTTGAACGGATCCATACCAAGCGGTCTTTTAGGGTTGCCGGAGCTTACCCAAGTGGAGCTTCAAGACAATCTATTGACCGGAGAGTTTCCCGTTACTACCGATGCTGTAGCCATGAATCTTGGCCAAATCAGTCTCTCCAACAATCAGCTTTCTGGGCCATTACCTCCGACTATCGGCAACTTCTCCGGTGTTCAGAAGTTGCTTCTCGATGGAAATCAATTCACGGGTTCAATCCCATCAGAGATCGGAAAGCTACAGCAGCTTTCGAAGATGGATTTCAGCCATAACAAGTTATCAGGGCCAATCACACCTGAGATCAGTCAATGTAAGCTGCTGACGTTCGTGGATCTGAGTCGAAACCAACTCTCCGGTGAGATCCCGACTGAGATTACAGCGATGAGGATCTTGAACTACCTGAATGTATCGAGAAACAATCTCATCGGCAGCATTCCTCCACCCATTTCCACTATGCAGAGCTTAACATCTGTTGATTTCTCTTACAACAATCTCTCTGGTTTAGTCCCTGGTACTGGCCAATTTAGCTACTTTAACTACACTTCCTTTCTGGGTAATCCGGATCTCTGCGGTCCTTACTTGGGTCCTTGCAAAGACGGGGTCCTGGCAAATGCAACCCACCAACCACATGCTAAAGGCCCACTCTCTGCTTCTCTGAAGCTCTTGCTGGTTATTGGTTTGCTTGTATGCTCCATTGCCTTTGCAGTTGCTGCAATCATCAAGGCAAGATCATTGAAGAAGGCTAGTGACTCTCGTGCCTGGAAACTGACTGCATTCCAGCGCCTAGACTTCACTGTCGACGATGTTTTGGACTGCTTGAAAGAAGATAATATTATTGGGAAAGGCGGTGCTGGGATAGTCTACAAAGGTTCTATGGCAAGTGGTGATCATGTTGCTGTCAAGAGGCTACCAGCAATGAGCCGGGGGTCTTCTCATGATCATGGGTTCAATGCTGAGATTCAAACTTTGGGGAGGATAAGGCACAGGCATATTGTCAGGTTATTGGGATTCTGTTCCAATCACGAGACCAATCTTTTGGTTTACGAGTATATGCCCAATGGAAGTTTAGGCGAAGTTCTTCATGGCAAGAAAGGTGGTCATTTGCATTGGACTACAAGATACAGAATTGCTGTTGAGGCCGCAAAGGGGCTTTGCTACCTTCACCATGATTGTTCCCCTTTGATTGTTCATCGTGATGTGAAATCAAACAACATCCTTTTGGACTCCAGTTTTGAAGCTCATGTTGCTGATTTTGGCCTCGCTAAGTTCCTGCAAGATTCTGGAACGTCTGAGTGCATGTCTGCAATTGCTGGATCTTATGGATACATCGCCCCAGGTAAAACATTTCAGGGTCTTTTTGTCTTTCCTTTCCTACTTATAAGCTGCCCAACCAAATGAAACTTGAGGTGACCAGCAAAGGGAGATTCTGAGTATGAAGATCTCTTAATTGGTGTAGATCCAAAGTCTGTCTTTCGTGCCTTGATCTTATCTTGACTTCAGTGGTTGTTCAAACCATATAACACGACAAGATGCTAATTATTTGAATATCTTAAATTTGGTGGAGTTTGGTTTTGGAATTAGGTGGGAGTCAGCTAGCTCCTGGAAGTACATCCACCAAATGATTCGTTTTAACTGATAACCCACAAATGAGATAGTACACCTATCTATCTTTTTTCATCTTTGTCAAACCGATGAGCCTTCACAATCAAGGATTATAAAGACAACAAATAAGACTCCTTTTCGAATCCTGTTATTGTTGTGTCCTTCTCATACGAATTTATTGGACCCAAAATCTAACCACACTCTAGTACAAAGTTTTTACCCTCCGAGTCCAGACCAAGATCATTAATTAATATTTGTCTGGTTCCTCATGTTTTGATACAGAGTATGCCTACACGTTGAAGGTTGACGAGAAGAGCGATGTATACAGCTTCGGCGTGGTCCTGCTGGAGCTCGTCACAGGCAGGAAACCGGTGGGAGAGTTCGGTGATGGTGTGGACATTGTCCAATGGGTTCGGAAGATGACCGATTCGAACAAGGAAGGCGTTCTGAAAGTGTTAGACCCTCGCCTCTCAACTGTTCCTCTCCACGAGGTCATGCACGTGTTCTATGTCGCGATGCTGTGTGTCGAGGAGCAGGCTGTGGAGAGGCCGACGATGAGGGAAGTTGTGCAGATTCTAACCGAGCTTCCTAAGCCACCGGGTTTCAAACAAGCTGCTGCTGCGGCAACTGAGTCATCCACGGTCACTGACTCGCCACAGTCGACTTCAAGTCTGGACTCTCCAACTGCAGCTATAGGTAAGGAGTCAAAAGAGCAGCAGCAACCTCAGTCTCCACCGGCAGATCTTCTCAGCATTTGAAGTTAGGGGTTTTAGTTTGCTTAACCCTGTTGTTTGTCCTATAAGAATAGGGAAATGAAGGGGGGGTGCTGTTTGTTTTTTCTTCTTCTAAGCAATTTCATTGAAGGGTTTGGTGTTAGTTCCTTAATCTGTAGTGTTCTTTTTCGTTTCTATTTATGGGGGGGATTTAGAGAGGATAGTGAGGGGGGAGTTTTTAACTGTTTGGAAGTTGTTTGTGTATAGTAGGGGGTTGAGATTGGAGAAGGGTTTATTAATGCAGTTTGGTTTGGGTTTTCAATTTTTTTTCTTTGGATATGCATGGGGAAGGGAAGAAATTGATTGTTCTTCACTGGTAAAAAGATTGAATGCTTCTGCTGCTACTGGCTGCAGCTGCAGCTGATGATGATGATCATTGATCAGTGGAAACATCAAGAAATGAGATGGGGCTCTGGGGAGTCAGAGAGAGAGAGAGTCAGTGTTCCTATTGGAAACAGAGACTTTTATGACTCTTGGGCACATTAATGGCTTGAAAGAGACTGGTTAGCTGTATGGTAAGTATGGCTAAATCAGACTCACTATCTTGTATCATCTGGTCAAAATCTCATTCAGAGTCGGAATCGATTAACATTGGATTAGACCATTAAACATGAGGTGAATCTCAGCTAACTAGGTGAATGACATTACCACGCAGAACGAACGAACGAACGAGACTACGTGAGCTACGATCCAACGACATCGATCCATTCAGCCTCTGATCGAATCGAACCCCCCAAATACCGAGACAGGTGTGGTGGAATATGGGGGGATGAGCTGTTTTGCTTTATTTGATGCATCACTAGTGACCTGGCATCGGGCAACGAGTTTTCATGGTTTTGTGTGGGTTTGGTGAAGAAGAAGTTGAGACTGAGTTGATAAGATAGGACTTATAGGAAGCAGAGCAGGAGGAGGGGAAGACTGAAAGCGTGAAATTGTTGAAAACTCCATGGGATTGGGATGGTGAGAAGGCATTGTGTGCTTTTGCTGTTTCTGGCAACTTTAGTGAGATGAGAGCTGCAGCATGGCAGCAGGCAGCTGCTGCCTTGAGTGGGAAATGAAATGAGTGCATTGCATTGGCTTTCCCTTTCCCTTTTTTAATGATTCAACGTTACCTTTCCTTGTCCAGTCCACCTGCCTCTCTCTCTCTCTCTCTCTCTCCTTGTATTTCCCTCCATTCTTTCTTTCTTTCTTTCTTGTGTCCCTTCTCAGAAACCCAGGACTTTCAAACCCTTTTGAAATCCGCGTCCATAGGTTTGAATTCGGCTTTAGTTTTTATACTGTTGGTGAAAGTAAACTAGTGTTCAATCCAACAATATGTAGTCGGGTTTTCATGGCAATAGAACAACGGTGAGAGGGCAAAGGAAACGCCAAAACATGCTTATGGGTGATAGACTAAAGTTGTATTTAAAGGTGATGTGAAAGAATATAAAGTGGCAAAGGGTTTGTTATCAATCGGATCATCAACACACAACCATCCATCCATCGTTTCTGAAAGTTGTTTTATTTACCATTAGGAAGCGAAGATTTTTCATATCTGTCGAGAGGAGAATAGGTGTACCGATTTTCTTGTTAGTTGAGTGCACTTGTTGGTTTTCTTATAGAAAAATGTGATATAGATTTATTTTTGTGATTAGATACTATTTCAGAGATTTGAATTTGTGACCTCTAGATTCAAAGTTAGTGCTATTATCATTAGACTAATCTAAAAAGTGTACTTGTTTTTTGGTTTAATAATATTTAATTTTCTGATTCTGTATTTCATCGGTGAATTTTTTTTTATAACTCTCAATAGATTTTTAAATACTATTTGATTTTGAATGAAAGATGAGATATGTGGTACGTCTGTATCCAATTTTGGAAAAAAAAATCCAAAATTTTGAAAGAAGATATGGAGGAATTTTATTTTACGGTAATTATTTTTCAGAATGCATGGAACAATTCTTCATCCAAAACAACCAAAATCAGGTTGGTCTAGCTCATAATGGATGAAGTATTCTAGTGAAAATGGATACTATATTTGGTGCATTATGGGACATTTGGATCAGATGCTTTGCTGAAAACAGAGATATTAAAACCAAACAAATTAAAGTTTTCCATCTATAGAACTGTTTGGGACTAATTAAAATAAGACAAATGGATAACATCCACCTAATCTAATATATATATATATATATATATATATATATATTACAAAATAATGGGGCAAAATCAAAGAGTTCAACTACATCGGTCAAATTCTGTGGTGTCTTCCAAGCAGGTCCATCATCAAAAAAGGACCACTACTAGTAAGTAGTAAACGCATCCCACATGCCAGGCACGTGACGTGACCCACACCACATGCATGCATATACCCCAATTTTGCTTTTGAGGTTGTTAAAAGGAGCAACACTCTCTTCTTGGGTTTTGTTGAGCTTAACTGCTCTCATGTAAAATGGAAAGGTGCTTTTCCTGCAAAGGTTTTTACAACCCTCCTTTTAAGTTTTAAGTGCCCAAAAATTCCTTCCTTCTTTCCAAATAGTAGCAGAAAAGAAATGAAAAAGGATAGCTAGCTCCCTTTATCCGATATTGAGGGAGAGCATCCAATCTTTTCTTTTTGGAAGTTCTATCCTATGAAATCTCTAACATGCATTGGGCTACTTCATGAGTTCATTTCCTTTCGAATTATAATTTCCCAAATACAGTTAGGGTGCGTTTGGATACAATGATTTGGATTTGGTATTTGTGATTTGGATTTCCAAATACTAAATCATGTGTTTGGATATTAATTACATTTAGTATTTGGATTTGTGTCAAATTCATGGGGTGATTTCCAAATACATCTCTAGTGTATTTTTTGTCAACTTCAAATACATTTCAACAACTAGTGATTTGAAATACCTCCTAACAAAAGAATGGACCCATTTGTAAAATATGAAAAGCTTAGGTACTATAGTGCGAGGCAAAACATATAAAGGTACCAAAATGTAATTTTACCATCAAAATTTCAGGACATTTTTGTAAAATTTTAGGTACTAAATTGTAAAAAAAATAAATTTGTGTACCAAACTGTAATTTACCAAAATTTGTAGTAAGTGACCAGGAATTTAAAAATTGAAATTCAAAATCATAAAATACAAAATACAAACAAATTACAAATGAGTATCCAAACAATATATTTGAATTACATGTATTTCAAATGCTAATATTTCAAATACATCCATTTCAAATGCTAGTATTCCAAATACCTTACATTTAAAATACACTTATCCAAACGTACCTTAGTAAAAACCTGGGTGCATGTAATTACACCCCTGGTCACAACTTTTAGGTTTGCTATTACGCGTGATGTACTATGCTATGTCATTCATGATAAGACGGTTTCGTTCCATAGCTGCGTTCCATAGTTGTACCAAAACATGGGTGCCTGTAATTACCATCGTGCATGTATACCTAATCATTACTACATTTTTGAATGGTCCAAAAATTTCCTCTAGAATATATATAAATGTATTTCATTCTGCCTGAAGGAATCAACTTAATTTTATGAGTAAATTTTTATTTCCAAAAATTCATTTGTAATTTTATTTAAGCCCAATTGATTAGAAGATCATATCGAAAAGATATGATAACAAACATCTCATAGTTCTAACAACACTGCCTAAATCGTAAAAACATAAACTAATTAAGGTTGAACAAAAGAAGCAACGTCAATCAGACTTGGACACAACAATTCACTCAGTCTTGGACACAACAAAAGCCATCTACCATCTTCCAGATCTTCTAAGCCATAATTAATGTCAATGCCCCAATTATGCTCCGCCAACCTTCTGAACTCACCTACCTTATCACTAGTGAAAACAGCAGAAGATGAAGGGATGAAGCCGATAACCAGGCTCCGATCCAGTGTAAGAGTCCTTTCTTTGACTCCCTCTGTACCAACTTGAAAAAAACCACCTCTAGAGTCTTTAACAATGTTGCATCTACTTGCACCACAGAAGCCTCCTCCTTTAACAACATCAGCGTAAGACCTGGAGGCCGCAGAGGGCCGCGGGGATATCATCCAAGCTAAAACCCACCATATCATTAATCTGAAGATGATGCTCATGGCAGTAGAAATCCTGGAGGAGAAAATAATGTCTGCCTGATTAGGGGTGTTCAAATGGTTACAATAGTTATAACCAAACTAAATAAGGCTAAATTCCATTAACCATGGAATACAATATCATAACCAAACCGTCCAAACTAATACAACAACCAAATTAACCAAACTAAAGTTTAATCGGTTTGGTTAATTGGTTAACCAGATTAACCAATATAAAATCACATTATCGTTGACGATGAAAATTTTCCGGTTAATGCAACAATTCAAAATTTATAAAATGAATAAAACATAACAACCAACACTTAGTTATAGTTGACCCTTAACAAAAATACATGCAACTAAGACAATTATTTTACGATTAGTATAGAAGTATTCACCTAACAAAAATTTATGACAATGGTACGGGTTAATGAATTGTTGTGTTTGTGTAAATTGACTTAGTCTCTTAGCAATTATCATAGACTGGAAATGACCTTCTTTTCAAGTTTTCATCCATCATAATGTATGAAATTTATCTAAATTAGGCGTCCATATGTTGTGTTCTATATTTTACATATACAAATATACACTATATGAGCAATATTGAGCTTTATATTTTATGAGTCTAAACGGGATGAACGTTAACTCTTGAGTGGTTATGCAAAGTATTAAGTATGTGTATATAATATATGTTAGATATATGACTAATTACTTAACTGGTTAATTTGGTTTGACTGGTTAGGAGTGTCTGAAAACAAACCAAACCACGTAAACCAAACAAGCTAAAAACTTTAACCAAACCAAACCAATTATCCAAATTAACCAAACCAAACTATCCAAATAGTACCGGTTAAAACGGTTACCATGGTAACCAAACCGTTTGAACACCCCTATGCCTGATGATGAGGTTCGCCAGTCAAAGGGATGAGGACTTTGAAGGTTTTCCTTTTGGAACCTGCTCGACGATTTGCAGATACTTGCTCTGCTTCCATAGCTTAACCCCTACGTGAATCATTCGCGATCCGCTCCTTTTCAAACACCCAGCCGGAAACCTCCATTTTTTCATCGCCACTATTTGTCGCACTCCTTGGAGCCACGCAAGTTGACGGGCATCCTTGACAACAAACCATTGCTTGCTCTTATCTTTGATATGTAACCTGTAACCAAGTTCCCCATAAAATAAGCCTTTACTAATCGTGACGAGCCTAGACCCCATATGAGATGCTAGCCGACATCCATTCGAAGAGCCACCGTCGTCCCGACTCCCGACACACTGATTCCTGGTACCTGCAATCAAGAGAAAAAAGCCTATGCCCCTCCCAACCCAAAGCACTCGCCCTCTCGGAATCTCTAGCCGCTCTCCGTCTCCGCTTTCTCTCTCTATCTTTCTCTCTCATCATTTTTGATAGCTTTCTCTCTCATCCCTGACAGTATAATTCTCATAGAAGGTAAGTTTTATGTTTTTGTGACCTCTATAAATAGAAGGTGTAAGACCAACGAATTTTGTACCCATCATTCAAACAAGTTATCAATAAAGTTGAGAGAGTATTCTCGTCTTCATTCATGAACGTTTGTGCAAGCTTTCTGTCGAGGAGTCCAGGAGGATTTCACGTGTCTCTTATCAACTAGAAAATGCATCTAGTTGCGGCGAGCATCTACCCTATAGCAGTTGCCCCTTTCCACGAGTTGATTATGTTCGATTATATCAATTGCCTTTTGTCACGAGTTGGGATTGTCCGATTGGTTCTACAATCTCCTTTATTTTTTAGTTGTAGAAGAAGACAAAGTAACCCATCTTATGAACGAGGCAATACTCATTGGACAGAGGGAATAGGAACAACTCAACTAAGCATCGATTCGCGATCGTAGGATGGTGCTTATTTAGTACAATTGCTTATTGAGTGAAGCGTCGTTTGAGAATTGTGCTTGAGGGCATGAATAGAACTTCTGACACCTCCTCTATAGCATTTACTCCCCACACAGATTGAGGAAAATGGGTTAATT